ACTCCGATTTGAAGAATTAACACACACGACTTTGAGCTAAGGCAGGCCTCTATATGACTCGGTACGTACCAAAGCTGAAATTTTAACTCTCGGTGGGGTACTGATGATGGTGTTCCTCCTGGAATACACGTTTCTGTTCTGGACGTTTCTGAACACCACTGGAGCGACTTTTGTGGTCACTGCCCGCACTGGAAGCATTTTGGGTCTCTGCCTGGACAATGAAACAGCTAGCACAACCAAAGATTGCTTTCTGACGTCAGCACCGCGCAGTTGTGAGATTTTATGGCAGTCGCGTCATCATTCTTTATTTGCACATGTAATCTTAATATTTACCGATGGAACGGAACGGAACGGCTGTGCTGGAGAAGTGAAAGAGGTGGCCTCTATACCCGCTAGAAATTCTAAACTAAAACTTGATATGTATGCCGTTACGCACATGGTAAAGAAATGTCTTGCTGTTTTACGAAACCCAAAGTTTACGTTCTCGTGTTAACAAAATGGCACCCTGATATCTTATCCTGAGCTAATTTAAAGTATTTTACATTTATACAATCTACATGTGTAAGATTCATTTTAATATAGAACTTCGGTCTGTGTTTTCAATGATAGTTGCCAATTAAAAGTATATTTATTTGTTTATATTGCCAAAATTCATGCTATGTACCGTTCAGTTCAATTCCGCTTATAATATTTTATATTTTCTTGCATGCTATACTGTTAGTTGGTAAAATTAATTCCTTCTTTAGTAACTCGTAATACATCAAAAATTTTGTTTGACATCTGTGACTTTAGAAGGAAATTATATTACAAGTACATTTTGTTATGTTTTCTAAATAAATAGAAAACCAACGTAAACATTCTTAATTCGCCTTGAGGAAAGTAATATAAGTGAATTATAAATGTATTTTAAAGACATTATAAGAGCACATGCAAGTTTCCATACATAGAAATTCAGATTATTTTTTATATTTTTTACTGCGAATAAATATCGGGCAAAACTTATTGCGTGAAATTCGTGTTATAAAGGGAAATTCATATGCAACCCTTTAATCATCTGACTTCCAACTGGTATTCAGAACACCCAATAGATGGCAGAAATGTCCTATCGACCCTAGAAGTATTCAGAAACATTATCAGATGGCAGTATAAGTAAAAACTTATCCCAATCAAAATTAAACGAATCCAAAATAATCGACCCGCATCGGATCAAACCCACCACCGCTTAAGGACTTCCAAATAACATTCCAGGACTTCTTCAGTAATTCTCCAGGACAAATAAATACCTCACTCCGTAAGAAAAGATTAATTTCGAATCTTCAAGCTGAGCCTTGGATGGGGGGCGGAAGATCGAAGGGGCCAGGTTTCAATTTTGAACTGTAGCGCCAAGGAAAAGGAATTACAAATAGTCAAAAGAAATGCAGTTTCCTTGTTGATAGTTAGCATTCAAATTCTGTTTTAAAACATAATGATATGTTTTTAAAATATTTAATTTGCAAATTGCACTGAAAACAAGCTATAATTAAAAGTACAGAATATATTTGATCATGCTGTTGTAAAACTCCTGAGAGTGTTTGACTGCACGAAGCTTATCGGTATTTCGTCGATCATGCAGGTGGCTCCGCGCAGTCATAGAAGCAGTGAGAAAATCTCAACCGTAAAAACTTCAATGGTTTACCAATTCTTGACTTTTGAGCTGATATCTGATTATAGATATTCTTTTGGGATAATATCTTTCACAGTATTTTAAATGCTACAGATATTTCTATGAGTAATATTATTGTTAATGTGAACATACGGGAATGGAATTTGAAGTTTTACAAATGTAAACATGGCGACTGCTCATGCTAATTGGTGTTTATATTTTATGTTTGTGAAGATTATAGGCGTGGATTAGACTTTATACAAAATGCTAGTATTAGTCTCAGGTAAGATTATTACGTGCTTATATGTTGTGTCAGAGTTTTCCGACCATATCTGATTAACTATTAAAGGGAAATTGATGTTTCTACTAGTCCATCTTCTATGCAAGTTATGCAGGTCATTGGTTGTCACTTGAAGTATGTAATTTGTAGTTGTTGAAGCACTGATTATTTGTTATTGAGATTATTGTCGTGTGAAGTCCAGTTTTTTCTAGTGTTTTCACTTACACATCTGAGTACATATAATTTATGACTGTAAAGATCTAATTTTTATTATTAAAAATCGCTGTCCATATGAAGTCCATTCTTTTTCACTGTGTATACATTCACAACGAAGTATATGTGCCATGATTTACTTACAGCCAGGGTGCTGGGCAAGCAATGAACCTGTTTCGAGCCCTGATTCCTTGTGCGTTGCAACGAAGTTGCTGGACAGAAGATGAATGTATGACTGGAAGAATGGGAGCTTCTGCCTCCAATCCAACTGGAGAGCCCCATAGCAGAGTTGGTTCTGTGACTCAAGGAGCACGTTTGTCTGCTGCTTGTCACACTGGTATTGCTCCATCTGGCACAAGTGATCAACTTTCTGTGGTTGTGCGGTAAGAACATTATTTATTTTTCAATCACTGTGGGAACAGTATGGTGGCTAATAATGTATGCCTCTTTTACTTGCAAGATATTGCAGCTGGTTCCTCTGTTATGAACAGATCACTAGTTGTACTGCTGAAATTAATATTGATTTGATTCTTGTATTTGAATTTCTGTGTGCTTCTCCAAGAAACCCATATTTGGTAGTATGCTCAGTTAGATTTCTTTTGTTAAATTTACTGTATATTGCATTATATTATCTATCTTTTGAATCTGGTGAGTATAAAAAAATGATTTTGTGACATGCTGTAGTGTTGATAGACAGTTGGGCAGCTGGTGACAATTTGATAAAAAGAAAATACTGTCTGCTCTGGAAATGGAGTATGAAAACATTTCTGCTGCCATTAGCTTGGACTTGGAACAGGAGCTTTCAGTCTCTTTAATGATGTGACTGTCTTTTCCAGAGAGAGGAAAAAGAAGGTGACTGGATTTGCAACACTGCGTAAGAAGTTTATCCGTCGCCGCCGATCATCTAAAATTTGTGATCATGGGCGAGTGCTGCGTGAATTGGTGGCTGAGTGGGGTCCCTTGGAGGTGGGGGCACTGTTGGAGGAGTATGAGGCTCTTGCTGCCTTAAAAGACTTGTCAGTGCAAGCTGAACTTGCCAGGCCTCCAGCTGCCACTTACAAACAAGACCTGTCTGCTCTCTATGACTTCAAATATTGCACAGATGCAGACCTGATGTTCCGTGGGGTGTGCTTCCCTGTACACCGTGCATTGCTCTCAGCACGATGCCCCTATTTCAGAGACCTGCTGGCAGGGTGTCCAGGCTTTGGGGCTCGAATCTGCTTGGAACTTCATACTCCAGGCGTGGATATTCCGATGTTTTCAGCTCTTCTCCGGTACCTGTACACTGGTGACATATGTACTCATGATGGAACCTTAGATGTGAATCTGCTTCGTCGTCTGGGAGATGAGTTTGGCACCCCCAATCCCCTAGAGCATGATCTTTGTTACCTGCTGGAGACGGGTGATTACGCTGATGCCGCCCTGGTGTTCACATCAGATGGAGGTGTTATAAGTGGTAACAGTGGGAGTGGTGACTGTCAGCGACCTGACTCTGGCAGCTCAGAGTATGGGTTCCGCCCCAAGTTGGAATTGCCATGCCACAAAGCTATACTCAGTGCGAGGTCACCCTTCTTCCGTAACTTGATCCAGCGACGTACAAGATCAGGTGAGGAACACACTGAGCGGGCGCTTCACATTCCGACTCGCATAGTGCTAGACGAGTGTGTAATCCCTAAACGATATGCCAAAGTGCTCCTCCATGCTGTGTACTTGGATACAGTGGATCTGACGTTGATCCTTCGTGGGAGTGGCTGTGGAAGTGGTGCTGGTAGCCTTGGTGAGGTGCAGGCATTGACACACACCGGACGCACACGACCAAGCCCTCTGGAGGAAGCCATGGAGCTGTACCAGATAGGCAGGTTCCTGGAGCTTGACATCTTGGCTCAGGGCTGTGAAGATCTCATTCTAGAATGGCTTTCACTTGAATCTTTACCCAGTGTGCTGCGCTGGGGTAGTCAGCCCCATGGTTCGGCTTGGGTTCATCGTCAGGCTCTTCATTTCCTGCGTGAGGAGTTTCAAGCAGTGGTACAGTCTCCGGTCCTGCATCAACTTGACAAGGCTCACCTCATTGATGCTCTGTCCAGCCACTTTCTCCAGGTATGTTGCAAATATCTGGTTTAGTTGGCTAACTCTGGTAGCAGAACTGAAAAGTTTATATAATCCTGAGCCAATTTGGTCCATCTTCCATTATCACATCCTGTCTCCCTGGGATCCATCTTATTGTTATACTTCATTCTTGTCTCAGTCTTTCAGGTAGCTGCGTTCTATGCATTTCCACACATTTCCTGTCTCCTTGCATTTGAACTGTATGTCCTAGATTTCAGTGTCCCACCAGTATTAAACAATGGCATTCTTTATTATCTAATATCTTAAATTGCCGTCTTTCATCATCCACATGGCTACTTGAAATCAATATTCCTGACCAAGTAGCACGTTACATTCTTGGTTCTAAATTAGGAGCTTCATCTGTGACCCAGCGCTTGGTTGTTCTTGCATAAAGATAATGTCGTTATAAGGTCGAGATTTAAGTTATGCTTATGAAAGAGATGAAGTATGAATATCCAGTGCAGTTGAACAGACTTTTGTGACACTGTCATTTTATTTGCATTTTAATACATTAACTCGGTGAATCACTTATAGACATAAGAAGGTGAAGTTCTGATATATTTCAAAAGATGGGTATGGAGGTAACAAATGTTTAGTATATGAAAAGGAGACTTTCCGTCCACCCTTCCCCACAAGGTTTTAGACTTTCATGACAGTGTAGACATTGGGGTTGTGATACCACGTGGACTTGTAAGTGAAACCCTGAAGGTGGAGGAGATACGCTCCTCCAAAACACTGGTACCTACCTGCAAGGCCACGTGACGTCGAAGCCCTAAAGACCAACATTGACAAATTTTTTGCAGTTGAAAAATACTGACTTGGAATCGATGACCAATGTAATGATGTTTACTTTTGATCTCAGGCTAGTGAATTGGAGGTGTTACAGGCTGTTCTGAAATGGGGGGAACACGAGCTGATCCGACGGATGGAAGACCGAGGTCAGTATATGCTTATTTATGTTTATTTTAGTTTTGACTGTTATGCTGATTGATCATAAACTAACTGTGTTTGAGTGGTACAGAACCAAATTTGCTGAGTCACACAGCTCACTCTGTGACACGGAAAGGTATCAAGAAGCGAGATCTGAGTGACGTGGAGCTGCGAGAGATTCTTTCAGAGTTGCTGCCCCTTGTGAGAATGGATCATGTCCTGCCAACAAACAACGATGTACTGAACCAGGCTATTCGACGGGGACTGGTGAGTGATCGATGACAGCTTGTCACTCTAGAGAAGTAATTTTGATTCTGAAGGGCATAGTATATTTTTCTAAATTTAAGATAATCTCCCTTCTAAAAATAATTATCAAAAATTATTTAAAGGGTTAACCTGTATATACCTTACATGATTTCTTAAGACCATACCAGCTGCTTATCCATTGTACTAGCATAACAGTAAACAGCTAACTGCAGATTTAAATTCTGACTGACATCCTTTAGCATCGTGATTTAAATCTAATATTTCCGTACGATGAAGGTTAAAGAGGGTGCAGGGTGGAACACATGAAGACAAATGGGCATTTTTGTGCACAGAAGTGACTGGGTGTGGAATTCTGAGCCAGCTGCTTAGCCATGTGGGTAATCCTCCACAGTGACAGAATCACCCAGCCAGCCAGTCAGGTGTCAGACATTTTGCTAATGCGTAATTCATTGATCACTAGAAAATTCCAGTTTCACTGGCACTGTTTGTCAAAGAGCAATTCCAGCAATTACTTAAGAATTGTGTTAAGCAAATATCTACTAGCTTAGACATTCTGTTATGGAACCCAAACTGAACATAACAGAATGTCTAAAATGTCTCATGTTACAGAATGTTAGTGCAGTAGATAAAATATAGTTACCATTAGTGTATGTGCCACATTATTTGAAATTTTTTTATATGGTGAGTATTTAATTAAATAGAACACAAACTGATTTCTGAGCATGTGGCATCATGTCTGTAGTGCAATTTGTGTTGTATCTGCAGTATAAGAACATTACTGGATTGTGCAAAATAGTGAAGAACGCTTTTGGAAAATGTTTAGTCAATGCGAGTAAATCTTTATACTCTAGTTCAAATTCTAAATTAGTAAATACAACTCAGATTGAAAGATTTTCTTCCAAGTTACATGTCTGAATCCAAATAGGTGAGCACCCCACCCAGTCACATGATAGGGGATGACCGAGAAAACCTACGCGCCAATGCTTGGATACGTGGTGGCAAGAACAATGGATTGTTTGTGCGGCCAAGACTATTCATGCCATACTATGAAGAGATCAAGGCGCAACTGGATGATCATCTGGTGCAAGAAGTGCAGCTCCTCAGGCTGCGCAGGACCCCATACAGTCCTGACATCCCTGATACATTGTACATGGTGGAGGACAAACCTCGTCCTCACGGCACAGCAGGGCTTGATGTTCTGGCAGCAGCTCTACCAGGTAACCTTTAGAAACTTACGTTGTCATTTATTCTGTGTTATGTTAGCCTTCTGTACTTATTTAATAGTGAAATATTTTATTATAGTATCATAATTTCTCTTTTTCTTTTACAGCACAGTCAATTTTGACTAAATGTAGTCAAATCTGAGGTCGTGTGTAACATTTTGCAATGTGCAGGTCTTTACAAGCTGGCAATCTTTTAGTTCCCACCTGTCAAACCCCCAGTCTGGAAGGTGTTAAATGAAAGTCAGTCTGGTGGTTATGCAATGTGAAACATGGCATTGATAAGGCTAATATGTGTGTTCTTGACTGACAGTAGTTCATTTCTACTAGTTCCAGATTCAGCCACAATGTCAGCAATGTTAAAGCGAGAGCAGAAGCTTCGACAATCACCAAGTTGTCAAAGGGCTATAATGCTACCTCTGTCATCACGACATGAGATCAACCGTCAGATCAGGCTCCGGGTTGTTAGAGAATTTAACCTGCCAGATGCTGTTGCAGATCTCCTGGAGGTAAAGGAAATTCTGACTTTTTATTTTTATTTTTTTCCCAGTCCAAGTTGTTACACCTGAGTCTGTTGGTCTTCTGAATTTTAATGCTGTGTGGGCTTTTAGGTATGTATGGACATTTCATCTTCAGAGCTTTATCTTGAAGCCTTGAAGGTGGGAGTATGTTTCTCTGGAGCATTGGTGTCTGCCTACAAGTCCACATGGTATTACAACCGAAAAGACCAACATTGACACCTTCACTGCTAAGAGAACTTCAGATTTCATATTAAATTATAAAATTGTTGCCTTTATGATTGTAAGTGGTGTGGATAAGATCAAGAATCTGATTTTCATTGCCAGAGTGCTGCATGCTACTGCACCCAAGAAGACGAGGACACGGAAATGGGTATGGATGAGGATCCAGCTTCTCATCATCCATCAAGTAAACCCCCGGGGCCACCCAGTTATGCTGGAGGTCTTCCACCATGTTTTGGACGAAACATGACATTCCCACGTGGGCCTTCGTCAGCATATGCAGTGCGGCAAGAGCTTCCGGCCGTCGTGACAGAGGGTGATGCTTATCGTGGCCATGGAGAGGTGAGAATCACATGGAAATTGATCAGAATGTAGAATGTGATCAAACAGTGTTTTGCTCACCTAAGTGTAGACACTCTTTTTCTCAGAAGTTAAGTTTACTGAAAGTTTTGTTATTTCAAAATTATCGTTTAATCTCTGTGGGCAATGTGTCATACCATACTATACCGTTAACTGTAGAGTTAAGGTGTGGCCAGCGGCCCTTTAGCACATGAATTTAACACCCCTCTGCTTCTTTAAAATAAAGGTGTATACAGCTAAAAACTGTAATACGCAAAGTCACAATTTACCACATTTTTCTAATATTATCATCCTTAATATGCATTAATACTGGTGGATGTAATTAAAATTCCATCTTCAAACTCCACTGCTTATCTTTTTCATCACCATAAATCTATCTTACATTTTAATCAAGAGCTGAAAATCTCTGGGAATATTTTTCTTTCTTCAAACAAGTTTCTTTTGTCACAAGACAGTGACCTTTTCTATATTTCTGTGAGGAACTGGGAGGTGAGATACGTCATATGTGCAGGGAAAGGGTTTAATATTTTTAGCTGTGTGTATTTGTACATAAGTAACTTAGGAATTGGGAGATTTACTCTGTTATTACCTGCAGCCTGAAAGCAGCTCCTGTAGCGATGGCCACTTGTCTGACATCATGCCAGATGTCGCTATGGCAACAGCCTCATTTGGCCAGCTGCAGCTTCAGGAACAGCAAGAGCTGGAGTTGGACCTTGGGGATGGAACAAGTCACCTTCACAACCCATTGTCTTCTCCACCACCCCCACATCCTGTCCACCCTCTAATGCCACATCCTCATGGAAGCTACCATCGATATCTTGGTGGTCCTGGTCCGCCACCTCCGTACTCACATCATCGTCCTCTTCCTGGACGCATGTGTCTGGGCCCGTACCACACCGGTCCACCTAGGTTCATATAGTGCAGTGAAGCGCTGTTAGCGCTGCCCGGGTTTCTATATCAAGTAACAGATTTTGCAACATGCTGCCACAGGCGGTTGCTTGCTTCACTGGAGAGTTGGGATGCTTTCAGATGAGTGCCAAGAAATGATCAGCAGTTGCATCTTATGTACAAAAACTTCATCTTACTCTTCAGAATGTTGTCACTGATGCATATTCTGCACAAACTGATTCAGTCATCATCGACTGATGTGCTATTTATGCTGTTGAGTGTGGTGTGATGTATTCATTCTGGTAATTTATACTGGTTCCAGCCTTCGTCGTTTGAAGACGCTTCTATGGGCATGCAAGGCATCTTGAATAATTGATGCATAACCTTATGTTCATGAGTGTTGAAAGTCTGTAACCACATAATTTGTAATAATGGATTGCTATCCTTGTAGTGGATTATGTTAACTGAATGGTTTGTTCCATAACTTGAAAGATCAGTTTAAACCACCAAGTGGAGTTCAGTATAATGCAGAATGCTGTTATTTAGAAGTATACTATTGCGAACATTGTAGATAGATAAAGACGAAAATGTCTAATTGTGCGGATTTTTCACATCGAACTGCAGTTCATATTTATCTCTCCTTTTTTAATAATGTTACTGTGGCAAGTGTAAAAGTGGGGTATGTAAGTTAAGGTTACAATTTATGGCAATATTGTGGTGGTAGAATGTACATGGGATGCTGTCTTGTGTGTGACAGAAGTTAAGATCTGTTGTTTTTTTGTTTTTCTTTTTATGTTCTTTTGTAAAGCCAAGTGACAGTATATTTATGAATGTACAATAATAGGAGGAGAAGAATCTGAAAAATGAAGAAAGTCTGTATTTTTCAGCATCAGTATACATCTAGATCAGGGGTGGCCGGCCCGCGGGCCGCATGTGGCCCGCCTTGAACATTTAACTTTGATTTTAAAATAATATTCTTGCGAATATATGACAGATATTGCCTGTTTTATTCATTATTATTATATTATCTATGTTTACATGTAAGAATAATAGTAAACACAATAATAATAACTCATTATGTTTCAATTTTTCACTCCAAAAAAATGTCTATAGTGTATCTAAATCTAATATGGGGATATATAATTTTATATGTGGCCCGCAGAGTTATGATGCATTTCCAAAGTGGCCCGAAAGATCATTTGGGTTGGCCACCCCTGATCTAGATGAATAGTTTCAGGCTGTGGTAATATTTCCAACAATTTACTCTGTTATTAGAATATTTTTCTGGGGTGTCGGAGTTGTCCATTGTGCACTTACAACATAATTTGTTTTTAAGCCTGTATGAAAATTATGACAATGGCATGATTACTGTGTATATCTTGCATTTTACATTTCTCTCACAACTATAGTGGCTTCATATTTAGTTTATTTCATGACCATTTAATGAAAATTTATAATACAGTGTCTCTTCATTTTATGAAGGGATACAATCTTTAAGAGTCATTCGTAAGTAAAAATGAATTTCCTGTTAACTTACAGGCAATATTTGATTGGTGATGTTATTTTAGGTGATTTATACATAAATAATACTGAAGCAAGATTGTGTATGGTGCACATTTATATGTGTATTTATTACGATGAACAGTATTGCCTAAGACAGATACAAAGTGCATAGAAAGAAGAACTCAGGAGATGAAGAAATAAAATGAAATTAAGTTTACACAATGATAGAAGTTGATGTATCAGTATCTGAGATGCAATTTGATGCGGTTTCATTGTGGCAGAAATTCATTATGAATATGCAGAAAGGCTACCCACTACTGTAGCTCTTCTTCAGAGTTGGCTTGTCTTGAGTACACTTGATACTGAGTGATGGAAACCTCAGGGATTGAGGTCTGCTGATCTTGGTGGGCATGCAAAACAAATGCCCGTTCTTATCCTCTTTATGGTGGCAATGTGGAGGCAAAATAGGACCCATGTTTGTATGGAATACTTTGTTTTTTACCATAGGATTTACCCTATAAATTGCAACATATTTCTTATGCACTCAGTATAGTTGTACCATTTACAAAATTTTATTTTTCGCATGTAGCCGTTTTCACATGACTGAGGTAGAAAGAATGGACAGACTCTGAACATTGCCTCATTACATCTCCTTGCTGTAGTGAAATGCCTTTAGGTGCTATAAAAACTTTCAAGTGATTTGAAACACGGTGTTTGTCTTGGCAGTCTCCGAAGGATTTCGTGCCATCATCCTAGTCTCGCAGAGAGAAAAATGTTTTTGAATAAAAGGACTTATCTTGCCAGAGAGCTGTTAATATTTGCATGTGGGGAGGTACATGTTTCTCTTTACAGGTAAATTTGCTTTTAGTATTATTCTAGCAATATATGGACAACTCGTATGGTAGCCGTCATCAAATTGCTTGCTTCAAGGTCACGGCAAAATTGCGCAACATTTCAATGTGAACAGTGGTGCCCAGGTGAGTTAACACAGCTAAGAATGCTTGCCATAGTGAAGCTACCAGCACTGTCCTTCTGTGGCCTTGAAGCATGCAATTTGGTAATGGCTACTATAGCTCCGATATCAGGGCTGTATGGTTAATTTACTTAATAAAGATGTCTCACTTGTTAGAGACACACAAGGTTGTTTCCAAAACCAAGAATATTACACATGTTCTGGCTTGGATATTGTGGTATTATTTTATTATTGTATTCATTTTTACTGTTATAATTTAATTGATAGTTGGGTAAAAGGAAGGTTTTGGGTTCTTTTACTCAATATTCTTTTAGTGTCAGATAAGGTTTGGGATCTTGAGGATATATACTCCCTGCCCTTCAGTATATTTTTTGCAAGTAACCTTGACCAGGATTTGATGCTTTACACTCATCTTATGAGTACTTTCAGCACTCGAAACACCATGTTAATTAAAGTTTGCATTTCAGTTTCTGCCAAATCACTTCTGGAAAGTAAAACATTTGTGTGGTATTGAAAGCAAATGGATTCTACAAAAGTGTGATTTGAAATATTTAAGTAGTTCCTATGGTAAATTCTCAAACAGATATTTAAACTGTAAGTTTAAGAAATCCATCGTACATAGATAAAAACCATATTTTTAAGACAGATTTCCAATGTGGGAAAAATTCCTGACAAATGAGGCAGGTTGAATCTGTTGCATTCACATCTTACATGTGCGTGTTAAAGGTTTTCTCTCTCTCTTTTCACGTGTATGTTTTGTGACAGGATCTGAACACACTTACTAGCAAACCTAATGCTATAGTTTTTGTAAGAATTGTGTGGTTATTTCATAAAACATTACACATCTATGCCCTGCATAAGCAAAACATTTTTAAACTGAATATTTTATTGTGATCTGTGAGTGAATCAACATTTGAAAGCGTGAAATACATGACTTAACCACTTGCCATACTGGAAGACCTTATGCTCTGTTACATAATTCACTGCTATGTAAACTTCTTTTACATGTTGCTGGAAGTTCTAAATCTACATACAAAATTTAATACTGATGAACATGATTTATTACTGATGTTAAAGGTGCCTGAACAAGTACTTATATAAGTTTAGTCCTGTTCAAAACATTTACTGAAAACATTAATTGCACCATTGGAGTATGTTTGCAGGTGAATGCAAATGGCACTCTTCTCTTTCTCTCCGGAGTTATATAATTAATTTTAGTGGTGTTTATTCAACTTGTAATATAATTACAATTTATGTGACAATTTTTACTCATGTGTAAGTAAGAATTAATCATTTACTGTTGAAGTAGAAAACTTATTGGCCAGGCCAGATATGAAATAAATGCCCAGTCAAGGTTACTGCAAAATGTTTTTTGCCGTGAAACTTCTGTATGAAGTAAATTTTAAGACTCATGATTATGAACTTCCTACACAAATGTGAAAGAATTTCTGCCTTGGTGCTAAGTGAAAGTATTTATGTAAATATTATACTTATTTTGTATGTGAGAGTGTGCATGTACATACATACAGTGGCCATAACATTTCAGTTGGTCACCATCACTTCATTTCTTATTCTCTATGTCAGAAGTGACCACTTGATGTCTGTAATTTTCTGACCTACACATGTTTCAGTCAGTGGCTAATTGTCATTAGATTAATTATTTGTACTTGAGTAACTCCACAAGTAATGCAAATAATTATAAGTGATGAACTTCACAGTTGCTTACAGTCTCCCTCTTTAGGGCTCTGATGTTGGAGGCAGTATGCCCCTCTGAAATATCAGTCGTTTCATTCCGTACTGCATTGGGCATGATCCCAGAAGACAGTCATCTTCATACTTGCCCCCATGAGAACCTGAAATGCCACATTAGTAATTAACATTTGTTTTTGTATTGTGACATGGTGGCTGTTTAGTGTCCAAAAGTACCACAACTGCCTGGAAAGAGATTTTATCCATCTTAAATATTATTTTAACTAACTAACTCCCTGGTAGCAGAACTCACAGGTCCAGCACCGACAACACCAAAGCCTGCCACCTGACATGATCCTGAGTCAACGCCATCCATTTACCATCCTCACAACCCACCTCCCTGAGATCCATCTTGATATTATCTTCCCATCTCCTCCTTGGTTTGCCCAGTGGTCATTTTCCAGAAAGATTTCCCACCAAAATTCGGTATGCACCCCATATGTGCTACATGTACAGCCCATCAGATCCTCCTAAATTATTTTATACATTTTAAATATTTGACAGTTTTATTGAATGTTGAACATCACAATTATTTGCATTAGTTGTGCAGTGACTTAGATAGAAATAATGAACCTGATGATTAATTACTAATTGAAACATGTAGGTCAGAAAAATACTGTCATAAGTGGTCACTTCTGAAAGTGTGTGAAGTGATGGTGGTTGAATGTGAAAATTAACGGTGAACACGTCAGGATGCTGAGAATACCTTTGTTTTATATTGACTACAGTATTTGGTTCATAGCCTAAGAGTTGGTTGAATTTCATATTGGTTATAAATGTGTTAATTTCTTTTAATATGATCCATCTGAAATGGAGTATGTGTGTTTTATATGTGAATTTTAGGAAATCATAATTTTAAGTCTTAATTGCTCCCCATTGGTGGATATTGTTAGATCTGAAACCTTCCAGCCAATTCTTATGCACAATTTTGTACTTAAGTGACCAGTGATGATATTTACATAAGTTTTGAGCCTTGCATGGGAAAGATACAATATACAGTACATTTATTTTTAAAGAAATTGTCTCTGAGTCTCACTTTTCTACCTGCTGTTGAACATGGGTATCTGATATAAATATTATTTTCAAGTGAAAATGTTCATTATTTCTTGTGCAGTTGATAAACATTATTGATGTAGGTGGTGATGTTAGCTGTCATGGGAATTTTGAATGAAATCTTCTGTTTGAAAGGCAGCTCTGGAAAGACAGTTTTATTACTGTTGTCCACAACTTCCATGTGCAATTTGTCCAAGCTACATACAGTATGGTTCAAATAATATCTCCTCAACATGTCTGAGATCTCATGAAAAACTCTGTTCATAATTTATTCTTCATTTTCTAGATTTTAATAGGCGTAATCAGTGGTGTATATTTAATTGAATGTATCGTATTTGCTTTACCCTCAGATTGTGATTGTGAATAGTGATGGCCTTGGTTCTGTCCCTGTATCTGTATCATTACTTACAAATGGTTGATTCAGAACTGAAACAGCTGAAAACTTACTCTACAGTAAAATTGTATCTCAGACATTTGCTTAGTTCAGAAGATAATGAGTATAAGTTATTAAACTTATTACAAAGACACAAAAGGATTTATTAATATAGCCATATGAAATAAAATGTAATTGCAGATAAAATGTTATGAAGAATGTGGCTCAGTAACTTAATTTTTATTGACAAAAAATAGTTATATTAATGCAAAAAAAAATATTACACTCTGTAAAAGAAACCAGTGTTCTAGTAAAATAGTTATATTAATTCAAAAAAAATAATTGTCACTCTGTAAAAGAAACCAGTGTTCTAGACTTACTCTCATTGGCTTCTGAACCATCCATATATTTTATCTGTGTCATAACAGGTATTTGTATGACATCCTCTCATCTGTTAGGCCAAACTGATGTAAAATGAGTGTTATCTTTAAGCTATGTTTCCTTGATTTAAGCAGCCGCTAAATTACCTTCGTGTGGGACAGGCCTTGTCTTTGATTGATCCTTTTGATATCTCATAATTGCTTTCTGATGTGAAAGAATTCCACTTTCTAATGTGCAAGCTGAGGATCCTGCATTAAGTGCAAGGGCAA